TCTGTTTTGATGAGTTATCATATGTTCACCCTTGTTGAGAGTTTTTAAAGTTTATGGAATTGATAAATTTATGAATTATATGATTTAATTGATGCTAATATGTGATAAATTGTAAATTTAATGTTATATAGGACATTATGCGATTGATGTGATACTGTTTGTATTGTTGTAATTATTGTAATAATGTTGATGTTGTTATGAGTTGAACTGGTATGCATATAATGATAGCATGTTAAGTCAAGATGTTTGGTTTTGATATGAAACTATCCTATTGATGTTATACAGGAACTTAAACGGTTGATGTGATACTGTTTGTGTTGTTGAATTGTTGTGATGATGCATACATTCATTCGTGCATCATGAGTTGTCGTTGTTGTGAAAGAGGCGATTATAGATTTTGATGTTGCTAACCAGTAATTTTCCCAGGCTTGATGTTGTGGCTTGGAGCTAGGTGTGGGGCTTATGGTTGATGCGTGAAGCCCACGTATTCACATTTTATTGGGACTCATTTCGTAATTGGATCCATTATTGAAGTTGGTACCACATGCATATGAGTATGTTGATGTTGTTGAGAGTCACATTTGCATATTGACCGTGCATTGTTGTGAAGTGGGTGAAACTTGAATACATGTGTTGTGATGCATAGTGGATTGTGTTTGAACTGTATTGTGTTTAATCTACTCTGATTATTTATGCACCTTTAATTATTTGAATGTATTTCTCATCCCTTTTGTTTGAATGTTGCTTTTACTCGGGCATCTTGCAGATACTCATAAATAGCATTGCTGGCGTAAGTAGAAGATAGCTCTTGGAGTTACTTCTTTAGTTTATCACTTTGAGTAGTAGTGCATTATTCTAATCATGTAACATCGGGTTGAGGGATAAACACTTGAATTGATTCTTATGTCGGTTATGTTTGAATTCAAGACTATTTATGTTGTTGAGATTTTCTAAATCGTTTTGAGTTGTCCGTTATGAACTCCTTTTGCTTATGTTATGAAGTTAACGTTTGTGAGACTAGATGTTATGAGTTTAAAAATTGTTGTTAATTATTTTATTAATGATTCCGCTGCGAGGATATGTTAAACATCATATGAGTTGGATGTCGTGTAAACATCCCGAGTACATATCAAATGAGTTGGATGTTGTGTAAATATCCTAGGTACAGTTCGTATGAGTTGGATGTCATGTAAACATCTCAGGTACAAACGTGTGTATTAAATTATTCTGTTGTAACTCGTGTTACGGAGCAGGTGATATGCTTGTTGTGAGTGGCACCCTGAGGTTATATTATGTTTAATCAAATTCCATGATAATTTCATGTGCGGGGGATAGCTTGTTATAACAGTGGAAAATTTTGTTTATTGCACTTAGTCGAAACTACTCTTCGGGAATGCTTTTTTATTTCATTGTTTAAAGTTGACGAAGATCCACAGATAAACCAATATGGAATTGGGGGGAGAAAAGCCTAGCCCAATTCACAGGTTGGCAATGGTGGAAGTTTGGAAAAATAAATTTTCAAAGTAAAATCATACCTATCTTTTACATAAGAGGAACTTTCAGTTTTGGGATTTTTTTCAATAAATATGAGTTTTAAAGAAAAGGTTGTATCATAGATAGTTCGACTGAGTTGATATGGGTTATACACAGTTTCAAAGTAAAGATGAAAAACTTGAAGTTCCTTGATGTGTGCACCTTGACTTTTGTGCTTCCATTTAGTCGGTAAAGGGGATAAATCATTTGTTAAACTTTGTAGAAGAATTGGGTGTTCCACGTAAATGTCAAGAAAATAAGGCAGCCATTATTTTTAAAATTCTTGGGTGCACAAATAAGAAGCTTGAAATATAAAAGGGGTTAGAGAAAATGCATACTTTGGAATGATAGTCTAAACATGCTCGATAGCTTTCCTCCAACAGGGTAGTGGTGGCCAAATAGATTCTGTGCTTACGAACCAAAAGGGACTTTTGGTAGAAATTGGCTAAAGAGAAGTTGTCCAACCACCAAGTTTGTTGATGGCTAACAAGTCTCATGCCAGCTTTCCCTGTTAAAATTCTGGATGATAGGAGAGTAGGTGTGAGGAAGGTTGCTCAAATGTCGAGGGCTCCAGAATGGTGTTCACGAGAAAGAGTGGGAAATTCTCTCTTAAACTAATCTGACCCATGAATTTGGTTGGTAAATAGGGCCATGGAAGAAATGAATGTAGCGCAGTCAACATACTAGAATAAGTAATCTCTGAAGGCCTTTTCTCATTCGAACGACCAACATCTTCTGAAATAAGCATATTGGGGTTGTATTTATGACCAGTTATGGACAAATAAATCAAGTCATATATACCTTAATTTTTCCAGATTTGTTCTTTTTTATTTTCTATTATATCTAACCAATTTATATAAGCTTCATGGTTAATGGTTGTAGAGAAATGGAAGACACGTAGGGGTTAACTCATAAAACCTGATTCATAGATAGTGTTTTCAAATGCACGAGGTTTTCAATGGCAAAGACAAGGGAAAAACTTCTTTAATTTATCAAGTTTTACAGTGAGTCTGGGAAATGAACCCCATAACACATGAACTTTTCCAAAAATGGAAAAAGGGATTAATAGGTGGGAAGCCCAAATAATGGATTTTTCCTTATTCATTGGAGGTTCAGGAACGTAGCTTCGACCATTAATGAAGATAGGTTATTCAATATCAAAAGCAGATGGAACTGAAAGTTGTTTCTTCATACCAAAGGAAGTCATTATTGTTAGAACTTGAGAAGAAGATTGTTGAAGTTAGGTTTGTATAAAAATGAAAGGACTCTTAGGGTTAAGAGAAGATTAAAGATTAATGATCTGCATATACTAAAAAAATACATCAAATATGAATACAAGACAACTACAAGCTCGTGAATTCTTGAGCAACTTGATTTAGGAAAACATGGACTTAATTAATATGATTATATATTTTGGATTTTTTTAGCCTGATCATGTATTTAATTGTTATGAAAATGTACTAATGTTATTTGTATGTTGGCATATGGAACATCTACTAATAGTGTGAATGACTATTTGAAAATTGGTGAAACCGCGACACTAAAATGTATTGATAACTTTGCAAAGGGTGTGATCAACATTCTTAGGGTACAATATTTGCGAAAGCCAAACACTGAAGACATTAATAACCTAATGCAAATGAGGGAGGCACGAGACTTTTCAAGTATGTTAGGGAGTATTGATTGTATGCATTGAGAATGGAAAAATTGTCCAGTTGCATTAAAAAGGGTAGTACGTTAGGGGAAATCACGAGAAATCAATAGTTATGCTCGAAGCAATGACTTCACAAGACTTACAGATTTGACATGCATTATTTGGGGTAGCGGATTCAAACAACGATATTAATATATTAAACCAATTCAATGTCTTCAACAATGTTCTACAAGGGCGAGCTTCCAAATTTTAGTATACAATCAATTGTAATAAATACAATAAAGGTTATTATTTATCTGATTGAATTTATCCTGAATTTACCATGTTTGTGAAAATTATTTCAAGGATAAGATAAAATTGTTTGCCCAACATCAAGAATAGACAATAAATGATATTGAACGAACACTTGGAGTCTTCAATTCCGATTTGCATTCATATGTAATCCAGCACGACCTTGACACTTAGACACACTCTAACACATAATGAAACGTGCATCATATTACACGACAAGATTGTTGAAGAAGAACGTGCCACATATGGTATAAATTTTGAATTTTCATATGATCATTTGAACAATGGCACGAAAACATTGTTAATTATTCTAATATTGATTTTCAAGAGTTCCTATGTGTTAGAGTGTACCTAAATGTCAAGAACGTGATGGGTTACATATGAATGCAAATCGGAATTGTGCTGGGTTACATATAAATGCAAATCGAAATTGAAAACTCCAAGTATTCGACCAATATCATTTATTGCCTTTCCTTGATGTTGGGCAAACAATTTTATCTTATTCTCATGTGACATTGAAATAATTTTCACATTCGTGGTAAATTCAAGATAAATTCAATTATATTTTTATATAATATAAATGTGGAATATATTGTAAAATTTGGTAAAACACATTTTAAAATTTTTTGAGTTCATTATTTAAAAATAAAGTTGAGTTGTTTAAATAATTTAAAATTTTAAAATAATATAAAAATTAAGTGAAAGTCATTTAATAAACTCAGATAAATATAATGGACGTGGATTCTCTTAAGGATCTGCTTAACAAAGTTTGATGCCTAGGGGATTGTTTAATTTCCAATTCTTTCCACCCTTTGTTGGCTGGCTCTGTTAAGGCTAGCTCTACCAGGCTTATCTCTCTCCCCTCTTTGTTATATAAAATGATAACCATGTCTAATATATAAAGATCGTCCATTGTTCCCACCTTCATCTTTATTAGTGTTAGGAACCCATGAGGGTTTAGAGAATTTGCTTAATTTGATCACCTTCCAAAGGTTAGTTCTAACATGAATTGTGACAAGTCCATATCCATCCCTAACCCATACATTTCAGTTCTATCAGAAAGTTCACGAGGGCTATGAAAGTAATAAACTGTTCCATAGAAAATAAAGGCGAGACAAAAGCATGCCCAGTGGCCTTTGTTCCGCCGCTGATGTTCAGAAGCTTGTGCAAGTAAACAGGAAACAGAGTCTCAGAAGATAATATCCTATTGGTAAGAATTTAATAGCACCAATGCAATTTGCATCAACAGAAGAATTCAAGCTACTCATGTACAACGCAGACTCAAATAAGATCATTATTCTCGTTATTGCAAAGTAGCATCAGGTGAACCAAATCAAGTAATCAAGCATTCAACATTGAACTAACATAAACTTGTAATAACTGTGAAGTTCCTAAAAGGTACAGATCATAAAATTATTGAAATTATAAACCCTAAAAACAGATCAACACTGTTCTGTTCTCAATCAACGAACAATCGAGATCTCCACATACCAAAACCTAATTTTCATCAACGCGATGACAATCACTTAGAAGGAGTACCGAGGATACTAGCCTGCTGGAGTTCAAGATCGTTGAGCTGCTGCTCGCGGTCCATCTCGATGATAAGAGGTACAACGAGGACAAGGAAGGTGGTTCCGGTGATCCAAGCGGCATTGCCGGTGCTTTTGAAGAGTTTCTTAAAGACGAAGGAGGTGTCGGTGTAGGCTTGTTTGCTCCAGGAGACGACGGGGGAGCGGGAGATCTTCGTGATGATGGAGTCTTGGGGATTGTTTGGTCTGTCAGGTAGAGAAACGCCGCCTTTTCGAGTTTGAGACGCCATAGCCGAAAAATAGAGTTGTGAAGAGGTAAAAATGGAAGGGAGAAGTGGTTAGGGTTTAGTTCTGCTCCCTTCTACAATTTTTTTTATTTTATTATGACACCTTGCCCTTGCAATAAAATCTGATATTTATTTATTTTTGTAAAAACTGTGTTTTTCTTTGTTCAAATGAGAAAAGAAAAAGAAAAGAAAAATATAAAATTATCTTAAAAATCCAGTTCTACTAAGCAAAGTTAATAGAATAGTCATGATTTTAACGAGACTCCACAAATTTATTATTATTATTATTATTATTAAAAAAATTTTAGCTTGCTAATTTTTAGCTATTTAAAAATCTGAGATAAGTTTTTTATTTAGGAGAAAACTTATCAATAATTTCTTAAATGTGATTTGTACTACTTTTCTAAGAAATAAAAATAGAAGAAAAATTGCACATGTGTAAAAGAAAGTCACACGCTTATCATATTTAAATTAGGAAATAATAAAATTACGTTAAAAAATTGTGTCTAAGTTTTCTTCTTTTCTTTTATTTAATAGGTTAGATGAGTTAAATAGTTATTAGGCTAGATGAGTTAAATAGTTATTAGGCTATTGTTATATAGAATTATAATTTAGTAGAGATAATGATGATACGTGTTGTTGTAATAAAAACTTATATTTACTTTTTCTGCATAAATTAAAGAGGTTTTAATTATAAAAAAATTGTTAGAAAGGAAACAAAAAGTACAAATTTAAATTATATTTTAAAGAAAAAAATTAGAAAATTTTTTAATGTGCCCTATTTGTTTTTTAGTACCACACAAAAGTATTTAAATTTTTTTAAATTTTAGAGATGCATCTTCAGATGTATAAAAAAAATTAAATGCTAAAATATTTTGAAGATCCATCTTCGTAACAATTTAACACATACCATGCATCACACTCATAAGTCATTATACTTGTATTCAGATGCAAATTTAAACCATACAATCGATATGCAAAAATTGACGTGCATAAATCCAGATGGTCTGTCATATATAAATAAAGACTAATAAATGTAAAAAAAAAGTCGAGAACAATGATAAAGTACCATGATGTCAAAATAAAATATAATTTATAATACTACTATTATATACTAAGATATTATTGTGTATGTCAAACTACATCTCATTTGCCTCCTTTATCTCCTTTACCTCCTCGAGCTTCTCAGCCATCAACTACCCCCCTCCCCCCCCCCCCCCCCCCGCGACGTTGTCTCCGATACATCAATGCCCCCGCGCTTCCGTCATTATGGCATCTAGAAATTGTCTCACATCAGACCCATCAAGGAAGATACCTCTGTCAATGTCTACCTACGCAGTCTCCACTATGCAACGACATCTAGACAAAACATCCTCAAGATGATCTAACCGTGTCTGCTCATCCTCTAGTATCTCTTGATGAGTTAGCCTTGGTGGATCTCCTGGAGCAACATACACCTAGTACGGATGTGACACCCTAAATAACCATTTGATATACCCTTCGACTTAGCTCCAGTCGCTCACGGCTATGGAGTTATGTGCCTCCTCAGGTACAAGATGACTCTCATAATCATCAAACATGTCATATATATGTCTATGTGTCAAAGCAGGGGGAGTAGAGACAACAGGGTGTCTGGGAATGCTATGAGTGTAGACAAATTACCACATGACACGCTCGGGCATATGAGAAGCAGCGAGACGCGATCCGAGAGCCAACCATCAAGAGTATAGAACGATCTCGTCAAATGTTCGTTTTACGCAGTGATCAACATAGTTGTTGAAGTGCATGTCCTTGACAACCAAACGATCAAGATACATTCTAAAAGGCTCAGTCATCTGGTTCCTTCTGAGCGGGGAAAAACAGTAGCAAGAGGCATATTCTCAGAGTAAGTCGGTACACTCGCCCAACCAGAGATGCGTGTGAAATGCTGGAGGATCGAAGCCTGAAATGAAAATTTGGAACACACGAATCATTAGTAATGACTTTGAAAGGATGAAATGGAAATGACACAGTAACATTAAAAGACCAGTAAATATTACATTCAATAGTGTGATACTTCTTGTGACTTGTTTCGTCTTTCACATACAACCCTCTAATAACTTCGAGTACAGGTAGACCAAACAAGCGACCCCCAGTTGTACTCATGGATCCGCTCGAAATCCTCGAAGTATGGTAGGTAGACGAAATTTGTATAAGTGCCACTATTGTCCATAAAAATCGCAATGCCAACCAAATATCGCAAGTATGCTTTCATAGCATGTGACTTGTGGAGTGCCACATGCTCATCATCACATGTAGCCTACTGTGGTATCAGGACCTCATATGTATATAATTTTTTTCCAGGTATTCAAATCTAACATGAGTACCTCTGGTTCTATCCAACTCTGTCTTCGCCTCCGCTGGATCAGCCCCTATATAATTTATCATCATCTTGAATGTCTCGTCTTTGGTAATGCTCTCATGATCTATAAGTCTCCCCCTGATCGGAATATGTAGCAAACATGAGATATCGTCGAGTGTGATAGATATCTCACAAAGCGAGAGATGACCGTAGTATAACTGGTCATGCACAAGTCCTTCAGGCCAGATAAGGACAGAGCTATCTGAAACCAATCCTCGTTCGGCTAAGGTAAGTTAGTAATCTTTCGCCCGTGGTTAATAATCTTCAGCGGATCACGATCCAGAAAAAAGTAATGTCAGAAACTTGTCAATTTAAATAAACGTAAATAAAAAAGAATGAATCCAACTAATGCTACCCAGACATGTCTAGCAGTATGATATCGATACATAGGCGATACTAACAATTCTAAAGGGCCTATTCCAAATGCCTCTGGCTCAGTAGCATGAACACCCTCACCCTCCAAAGGTGGCATTGACTTAATAACATTAGCAGTAGAAGGTGGCACTGGCTGAAAAGCATCTATAATATCAACAGTAGGAGGTGGCAGTGGTGCCTATGGCACCTGGCGTCTGCGGGAGGGTGGAGGGAGTGATGTGTCAGTAGGAAAATCTTATCTCCTACGGAAAGAAGAAGATGGAGAAGTATGAGGAGAAGCACGAGCCCCGGAAGTAGATGGCTTTGTATGGCCAGAGGGACCAAGAGCCTTCGAAACTTGTTGACTCTTCTCCTGCCGCATGGATGCACGTTGTGAAACCCCCCTGTGCCTTATCATGTCTATCAGCCGTTATGCTCGTAAGTTAAAGTAAAGCAGACACTCAGTGCAAGCAAACAACACCACAAGCAAGAAAATAAAAAAAATTGAGAAAATTCTGGAGATGTATCTCCGGTTGCTTTGAAAGTAAAACATTGAAAAATTTTGGAGATGCATCTCTGAAATTTTTTGCAACTGAAACTGCGTCAATGACGCTAATATACACATACAATCATAAAAAAAAATTTGATCATCCTTTGCATCCAACAAACGTGTAATACACTATGTCTAAACTATCATACATGTAATTTCTACTCATTTCTAACCTTAATTATCATTTTGTACTCATTTATACAAAAACTCAAAAACTTATCAAAACTTTAAAAAACTTACAAATTTCAACTTTGCTTTAGGGTTGGATGATGTTTCTAATGTTGATTGAAGTCCTGTTGAGATTTTTTGTTTGATTTTTGTCATGGCGGTGAGAAAAAATTTGTGAGAGTTTGAAGAGGTTTTGTGCAAAATTAGAAATGAGGAAGATGCAGAGTACTAACATGATTTAATGTCCAAAATATTCCAAAGATGAATCTCCGAAATATGTTCAAAGATTCATCTCTAGAATATTTTAACATTAATTGAGACTTGGGTGCGTTTGAAGATGCATCTCCAAAATATGGGGGCATTTAAGTATTTTTGTGTGGTGGCATAAGAAGCAGGAAATACCTTTGCAACCTAATTCATCAATGTAGTACCACAATCAGTAACAATCATTTTAGGCATCTTACCTTGGTCCTTTAACATTGTCTGACACACCTCTAAGGCCCAAGTAACATTCTCTTCTTTCTCACTCCCTAAAAATGAAAACCTGACATAATTTGTCTTCTCAGATGAGTTAACATAAACTATCTCCAATAATAGAGGTTTATACTTGTTGGTCTTATACATTTAATCAAGTATGATTATAGTAGGAAACATGTTGAACAACTTTATGGAATTAGGATGAGTCCAAAATATATCTCTAACGGTAACTCCATCTTCACACGTTCAGTACCTAGACACATAATTGCTATCATTCAACAGTTTCAAGAGTTGTTGCATTTCAGTTCTATCCCAGAGCGCCCTGTTAGTTTGGTACTGAATATTATATACTTGCTTGATATTTGATATATTTTCGAGCCTTTTTTCGTTTCAATGTTGCAAGTATTTTTTTTTTGGTTTGAACCAAATTCAATTTCATGTCAACAGCGCATTCCTTCTCTTCCGGCATGAGCCGACACAAAATTGGATGGCCGACTAACTTTTCACACAAACCATGGTTATGCAAACTGTAAATGATATTAAATCTCTAGTTTTTGTTTGCTAACATGTAACCACGCACCTTAAAGGGTCACTTACATTTTCTTAAATCGGTATCATCTCTTTTAAAATTCCGAAGAGGAGTTCTATATTTCCTGCTTCTTTCAATCGTTATTGCCGCAAAAACGCATCTTCTATCCGAACCACTATCGAACCTTCCGATAACCATCCAAATCTAAGTTTGAAGGCCTCAATATGAATCTATTGAAGCATTTGATCATGAGATTCAAACTCTTGCTCGTTTTAAAATTAGTTGCCAATATCTACCGCCTTCACAACAACACCCTTGGCATTCATAGAAACAACTTATTTGGGGAAAACACCAAGGTCCATCATATTTAATGAAAATAATTACCATATAAATTAAATAAGTGCTACTACTAAAAACATAATAGGAAAATAAATGTTGACTGCTACCGAAAATGCATCTCAGGAAAAGTTCATACTCGTTCCAAAGATACATTTCCAGAAACAAAGCTCGTTTTTTCAGGAAAA